ATAGACAACAACTTTACAAAACTAGACATGTGCAATGACAGTCGAAACAGAACATGCCCTCACCAGACTGGATATGTTTTTATTTCAGTGGAATAAACTATTTGTGTGGACAGCAACAATGAGCATATGTGTTCACCGCCATGGGACCATGGTGGCTTTGCTTCAAGCAAAGGCATACAACAGGCTGCATGCATTTGAAATTTAGATAAGTTGAAATATTTCAGCATACACAAATCCATTTCTTGTCTATCCCTAAAAACAGTATTGACGTTACTCTGGGGCAATGAATTAGTCTTTAACTGATTCACTGTGACTAAAAATGGGCCTCTGGAGACCTCACATTTTGTTCTATCACTCACCCAGATCCACCTGGGCAACTGTGCAATCATATGCAGCTCAAACTGGGAGTAATCACCACATACCAAAACAGAACTCAAATAAAAATGTTAAGAGTGGAGCAGGTTGTGACTTCCAAATGGCTGGAGGATTGCTGTATTGATTGGCTGCTGCATAAAGTCCGTCTGCTGGCATTTCAACACTTTACAACAGAATGTGCTTATGCTGTTGTTAATCTCAGGGGGACTCAGGAGCATTTGTAACATGGGGAGACACATTGGTTAGGAGAGTAGCACCTAAAGTGCTTCTCACAAGGCTATCTCTATTTCACAAAATCATCTATTTTGGGAATTAGCAAATTTTACATCCGTTTGACTTCTTTCCAGCACCGATGCTTACGCACAACTGCAGTTTAATCATTTATAATACAGTTACTTCAACTGAAGTCAACTGAAGTAACACAGTTGAAGTAACTTTCAATTGGATATTGTGACGTCAATGGTTAATTTAGACTGAATTGGTGTTGTAAAAAAAAAAAAAAGAGGTTGCATGTGATCACAAAAGGACTTTTAAGAATTCATAGCCTTCCAATTGCAAGGCGACCACTTTACCACTGAGCCACGGTTGCCAGATGAATCAAAAAGCACTCCACCCATATCCAAGCTTGGTCTACGTTCAATCAGTCAGAGTAGAATCTGTCCGAGGTGAAGTCTAAAAGATTAATTTCACATTATGTACTAATACTAGTGAGTTGTCTGTCCTGCCATGTTGACATTCCAGTGTGTTTGAGACAATGCCCAACACTCATTATCTCCTGATTGTCAGCCTCCTCAAGGTTATCATGAACACACCCCTCTATAGTGCAATCAAGCCTGATTAGCTGATTAGCATACTACTTGATCTTTTGCTGCACACTCCTACCTGCTCACTTTGAACACATGTGGACACAACACCCACACATACTACAAATATGAGGGCAAATGTTGATACTAGTTGATACATTAATTAGATGACTTTTATTACACAGAATTGAGCAGATTTTATTTCAATGAAAGATCAACCTAATTTTTCAGATGTTGCAGTGGGTAGGTGTTGAGGTTAGCAGGTTTAGGAGTTAGATTATAAGAGAATGATCCAAAGAAAGAAGGGGGAGTGGTAGGGTCTGAGAACTACATGTGAAGCTGGATTCTTCTCCATGTTATTTAAACTTTGATGCATACAGCTCCACTCTGACCATACACTACCAGCATATTCCACTTAAAACCCCAATAAACAACCATTGCTATGATAAAAACATCAACAAAGACCCTACAGAACCATCACCATAGACTTTTTTTAAAATAAAATTATGTGAGCGAACACTCTCTCAAGTAACTAAAACAATGATGTATGCATTGCAAGACATACATTCCCATTGTGATGTACAATTGGTGGTGTAGGCACACATTAGGTAAATATAATTTTATAATTTTCTTCCTAAAATATTTTGTGTATAATGTATAAAATTCTAACCTAGGATCTTAACGTTTTCCCCAATGATCAATGGCATTTAAAATTTCTACTTATTGCTGATCAGGTCAAAACCCAATTTTGATATGCTTTACTTAATATGTTGGTTTTCAAGGTAGGTTTTTTTTTTCTTCCATTCTGTTGTCATAGCGTAGTGTTCTCCATTTTGTCTGAGTCTGCTGTTTTTGTTCTCACTGCTGTTTCTTGGCAAACCGGCTGTGCCAGCAAACACTGCATAGAGTGGTGCCACAGAGCAGCTCGCCAAGACGGGTCAAAGTCACATGACCAAGTGTGACTGTCTTTCATTTTCTGGAGGTCTTTCATATATTATTTGAACATTTCCATAAATATGGCTTCATCCATACAGACATCCACTGTTATGTGGGAACTGTAATCAAAAAGACACCCCAGCATGACTCCCATCCACTGTACTCTGAGTGCAAACAGGCACCAACAGCAGAATACTTAGTGACAAAATACAGGAGTTATAATTTATACAAAAATTTACTTTATATCTGGAAACTATTCCAACCACTCAGACGTTGGATCTTAAACCACTCTCCAGTTGCAGATTTTAATATGTCGCCTTGGTTCTGCCCAATAAACCTGTTCATCTTCCCCCGCTTCAAAATTGGTGCTGGGTGATCCCAGTCTGGTTCATTTATCAGCACTCAGTCAAGCGCATAGATCCCAACTGTCCAAGTATTCTTGAACCCCAGTAAGCCACCCACTCATAATCTCCTTAATAAACAGGTTCGCTGAATTCTGCTACTGGGAGACAACTGTCTTAATCGCTGTTTTAAACACATGATCCTTTTTACTTTAATAGTTTGTCATTATTCCAAGTTTCTCAGATCCCTCATCAGGCAAAGAACCAGATTAAGTAAATCCTTATTCACACATTTTCATGGGGAGAGTCACGATGCCCCTCCTGGATCAATTTCTGAAAACTGGCAGTTTTTGGGTATCTTCAGCCATTAAATGACGGAAATGCATTATTAAGATCATCACAAGCTGTAACAGAAACAAATCATCTTGGACTCTTGTGGTTGGAAGATAAATCTTAGGTTTTACATATTTTAGAGGCGAGATAAGGCACTGAATTCACAAGTTTACTATGATTATGACGCTTTTTCAAGCTGTCCCTGGTTTAATGATAAACATGCTGTACACATTTCAAGGAAAATTGCACACATCTCGCTACTAAATCCTCTGCACATCACTGTGTTTCTGTTAGATTCCCATGAACACACATACAGATGGTGTGCTTAAACCAGAGGGAGGTGATAAGACGGCGAGAATCAACTGAGAATGGAGCTAATCAAACTGAGAAGAGACAAAACTGCAACTGATTAAAGAAACTGCTGCAGGTGAAAGAGAGGCAAAGAAAGGATGAGCTAGTTAAGGCAGGAATGAGGAGGGAAAATAGAGAAGACACAGCAGGGGATGAAAGAAACTGCCAGATAAGGTAAAATGAACGTTTCAAAAAACAAAAAAAGAATCAAAGAGAAATCTAAAAGTGAATAGTTTACTGTTTTGAGCACAAATCTTAGTTTGTGCTCAAAACAGTAAATTATGACCCTTCTGAAGCAGATGCTGTTTCTTATCTCATCTTTCCTCTGCCACTCGTGCGATGACATGCAAACAGAGCTAGAATGGAGCCTCTCGTGTGCCAAACAGGCGACAACAGGGCTCCTGCGAGTGTGCAATGCCTAATAATGGCAACCATCTCGCTGAGGGATTAGACACACCAACAAGGAAATATAAGAGCGGAGGTGAGGGAGGGGAGTAGAAATCTCTGGGAGCAGAAATCTTCAGAAGCGAGCACCGGGCTTATGTACGGGGGAAGCCATTTTGGGTGCACAACTAATCGCATGCTGACAGGAAAGAGGTCTAAATGTCTTACAAACAAAAGCCACCAGCCTTTATGTTTTCTAAAACAAAGTCTGCATTTTCCACATTATCCAATACAGTGATTTTCATGGAAAAAAGACAAATGTTTGTGTCTTTAATAGATAAGGAATGGAAACGTAATAACAAGCCTATCATCTAACGACAATTTTTCAACCTATTATCCAATTTGGACTCAGTTACATTTTAAAGCTCAATTTTTATCTTCAGACATTCAGATTTTTTGACAAATTGAGCTTTTTTTTCTATCAATTTTCAAAAAATGTCTGGACATCAATGCATATTTAAAAAAAAACATTTAAAAAAAACATGTAGAGTTGTATAGCTTGAATTTTCTACAGAGCAAGCTTAATTTTTACCTAATAAACCAAAACAAAGATTTTCTCTTAAAAGTTATGAGAGTCTTTGATATCATTGGTGCAAAGAGTTTAACTCTAAAGTTAAAACATTTATTTTACTGTGAAGCATTGCTGCCAGCTTTTTTCTACTCATCCTTTTTATCTCACCTCCTTCAGAACATAATAGTTTTTATTTAGCAATCCCAATGTTTTAGCGACATTTCCTGAATTCATGTAACCACACAAAAGCATCACTGCAGACCACTATTTATTTATGTGAGATGTGAATAAAAACAGGTTTATCCTTCTAAGGCTCCAAGCATTAAAAGCATACTACGATGGGAACCAATATCCAGCCTAAATCCTCCAACTATTTCCTGGAAAATTACTAATTAACTACTAACTTCTGTCTTTTGTAGTGTTTATTGCCGCTGTTTGCATCATGTCATAAAAACATAGAAATGCATGTCCAGTCATAGAAATGCCTCAAGTAAGTAGGATATTATGTCATACAAGTTTCTGATAGAAAGAAACTGTGAGCATCTCATAAATCCTGCAGAACACAGCTGCTGAGTGGACACTTTGGTTTGCAGAAAGCAAAGCTGGAGAGGGTTTTTCTGAAAACTGATCTGCTGTGCGGCCTTCCTGCACACACTTAAAGCCTTTAAACAAATCATGAAACACACTCAAACACACACAGAACACACAAAGCAAGTCTCTTTTCTCCCCCTTTCATTTGCTGCTGGCTTAATTACTCACTTAATACAAGCACCCTCAGTGAGAAAGCATTATAGAACACAGACAAGTAAACACATTAAAACATCTAACACGTTCCACTCAAACACTCACAGAGCAATCGCCGCTTTTCATACTGGTGGAAAAGGAAAGATTTTGAAAAGGCTGTACCTTTGCTTTTAGCTAGAAGAGCAGCAGCAGCAGCAGGAGGAGGAGGACGAGGAGGGGGAGGAACAGAGAGTCCACAGCCGAGATAGGCCAGGCAGGGAGGAAGAAGAACACGGGTTTTAAGTTCACGAGGGTTAATCAGAACAGAACACCTCTAAAACATTTAAAACATGCAAACACAGCAGGCAATAAGGAATCCTCGATCAAGCTATCACAGCTTGAATGAAAGTATTTGAAAAATAAGTTCTGCTCAACGTGGATCGCACAGAATCAACACATGCAGGTACTTTGTTGTGCAATTACTTTTAAATAATATTTACAAGCCATCTTTTGTCAACTTAAGAAAACTTACTAAAAGACAAAAATAAAAAAATAAAACAATTAAAAAATGTGCTTATCTTGCTGCTATTTTGTTTCATTACAAGCTGAAATGTCCATGAACGTTCTATAGGTAAAAAGTAGACACATTTCCATTTCATTTCAAGTTCTGTAAATACATTTAATTTCCTCATAAAATTGATCTCCTATTTCAACTTGATGAAATATGTCAGACTTTAATAATGAAATTGGGTTTATCTGTATTATTCCTCATCTTTGAGCTAAATAAGCAGAGTTGAGCTATTTTAAATTAAACATTTGATTCTGTGAGGAAACTTCAGTCACTCTGCTGACTGTTTGGACATTTTGAGACTTCCATGGGGCCTTCTAAATGTCCCTCACTGATGTAATAAAACTAACACTTTTTGGGATCTTCCATTTAGTCAGCAGCCAACTGGGCCAAGAGCCAAGGCTTTCTTTGATACTTTTGAGCTTGACATATACCAACATAGGCAGACTTCAACCTCCCCGTTTGTCTTGGTCAAGCCGTAAAAGATCGAGGGCCCAACAAAGCATTCACAGTTCTAGAGCATTTAGGTTTATGGGTTTATTGAAAGCTGAACAGACCATGAGGAGAACTGAGCTAGATTAAAGGTGATGCAGTCTGGAACCTACCAGTTGTTTCTAAAATAAAAAAGTGAGCATTTTCACAGATTTTTCAAGTGACTCACCTTTTGCATTTATTGTCTCTGCGTTCAGAAGCATGCACTTCCATAGACAGCACTCACCTCACCAAAACATGCAGTTGCACACCAGAATCAAAAACAAAGAATATTTTATGGAGAAGAAGTAAAGAAGGTGTACCTTGTTCTGCCATCATGTGTGCGAGGCCTTGAGAGGAAGAGAAAAGGAAATGAAAGAGAGATAGAGAACACTCTGATTCAATACTCTGTAGTATTGGGATGAAACATGCTTTCAGAAGGGAAAGCATGACATCCGCACACAATCACTTTCCAAAGCTTCCTGCGTCTGAGCAGGAGGCTTCCTGGGAAAAAGTTCACACTTTTAAAGAATACTTCAACTGGGAAATCAGAACCAGAACTGACCTGGCAAACCACCTGGTACCTCATATAACTGTAGGTTTTTAGTTTTGGGAGCAAAAACAAGTTTTGAACATTGTTATCGTCTTTGAGATAGAAAATAAATAAAATATACAGCTAAAGCTGTTTCTAAAATATAGATGAAGATTATTATCTAGACCTGTATTTGTCTTCAGGGTAAAAGGTGTCTTCAGGGTAAAAGGTGTGTTTCTTAATTTGAAACTAAATGACAATGCTAAAGTCTTATGGGATCATCAGAACCATTATGTCTTTTGTTATTTCAGATTTGTTGCAGCTTTATATTGCATAAAACCCTGGCAAATAATGGCTCAAATCATAAAAAGCCACAGATTAACATGGCATTTAAGATCATGGTGAAGGGGTTGGAACTTTTAATTGCAACTGGTCACATTAAACATCATTTTAGAATCACAAACTATAGAATAAAGAAGCAGCATCATTTTTCCCCAGTAATAATGTGGTAGCACAGAACAACAGAACTGGGCCTGGTCTTCAATTTTATTTTTATTTTCCAGGAAAAGCTTTGGAACATTTTTAGAAAATATTTCTACAAAAAGCTTTAAAACATAAGTAATTTTAAAAATACATCTCTATTTTGGGCCAAAAGTTGCTGTTTGATAATGTACCTTTTAATGACAAAAACTTGATTTTTTTTTTAATTCCAAAGGAATGAACTGACTTTTTATTAAAACTAAATGACTCTGCAGTTACATTTCCCCTTTTAAGACTGTGATGTAGTTGTGAACCCTTAAGCCAAAAGTCTTTCTTTAAATATTTGCAACTGCACAATGTATTCTTCCTCATTGGTCGTTTCAGGTCCCATTTCAACTCACCTGGTATGGTCTTCCTGACCCCTGCAATGAAAGGAGACAGAGAGAAGAAGTAAAGAAACCAGCATTAGAAACACACTTTGTACTTGCATGATGAATGTCATGCAACTTTTCAAACACTTAACAGTCAATGCAAATGTTTGGCAGTTTGCACAATCATTTGCATCTGCTACACAGTCCAGCTTCTCAACAGTAAGGAGAGAAAGAAGCAACATTTGATTTATGACATTTGGACAGAAGAAAAAGAAGATGACCCACTGCTGCCAGATTACTTAGCAAAAGAAATTATGCATTCAATATAAAGGAAATGTTCCCCCAAAAATGTTAAAGATAAAAAGCTAAGCACAGTTCAGATGCAGTTGAAATTTCTGTTTTTGAACCCAAGACTTAAGAGCATTTGATATCAGCATTAAACATTTTATATCAAACATTGAGCTTTTGGTGCATGATTTATTGTTATTTAAGTCCAAAGATATCTTTACATCACACTGGATATACAGTTTTCATCACAAAATTGGTTACAGATGAGTTTCTATTTTATTGAGCTCCTGAGAAGTAACATAGCTGCAGAATAAAATGAACAGTAATCGACTTGAGATGCATTAAATGTTCAGAGCATGGACTAATTGGGCATGTTATGGTGTTAATATGTGAACACAAGCAGATGGTGGTTGATTTGGTATGCATTAGATATTAATTCAGTTTCAACTGAGCAGCTCCAACATGGAAGAGGTCCAGTTACTTTGGGGAAAAGACATGTGTGATGGAAAAATGACTTTTTTTTTTTCTTTTAATTTTATCTGTGTTTGAGATTTACATTTTTTGAAAACCACACACAAATGTTACAGAAATAGCCAAGACAATAAACAGTAGCCTAATATTGTTTTGCTTTTTGGACATTTTCTCCTTGTTCAAACGAAGACATTTCAGCTCATCTCACATTTTACCTCATTGTACTGAATGAACCCCATGCATGCAACACTTTGAGTTTCAGGTAAAACAAAAAAGTCCTGATTTACATCAAGACAGTATTTACTGACCACATCAAGTTTTACTGAGTAACACTTGTCTTTTAAATCAACATTTTAATTCTGGACCAACTGTGGAAACTTCTTAGACTTTCAGAGGACAATTTGAGAAAATTGAATAAAACTTTATTTTGGCTTGAGATCATTGCTGAGATTAATGAAAGAACTCCCTGCTGTTACTCTGAGCTGCCAAAGTAGAGACAACAGCATGGCCATCAACTTATTAATCACTAAACAGTCATAATTCATGAGTGTGTGTAAGAGAGGATGCACAGATTACGCCACAAGAGATTGAAAGTTTGGAAAATAGTACATATGAAATAAAATGTAAGATTTTTAACACTTAAATCACAGTGCTCTTATTATCTCATGATTTTTCTGGCAATGCAAGATTTAAATTTATGTAATGCAAATCATGCAATTTTTTTCTATTACAGGGTCTTTCGTTACGACCCAGCACTCAGGTGTATTGTGTCTGTGTGATGAACAGCTGGATTCAGTCCCCTCTCTTTGCTGCTCTGTTATTTTCTTCTCCATCTTGACCTACTTCCTCCAACAATTTCCTCCCTCTGCATTGTGCCGCTTTGTAGCATCAGATTTTGGTGAGACAGCAAGTGAGATAAAGATAGTGAAGCCATAAATATTTAATGAAGGTAAGAGCCCGCAGAGCAGACAAATAGTTGAAGGTATTTCTAACTCGTGCCTCCAGCTGCACACTGAGAAATGCCTCCTGATTAATTTCACGCAGATCATCTCACCGCGTCTTAGACAAACTTATTTATTCATCAGTGGACATATAATCCAAGTGAATGTGCTTGCTTCTCTTTTACCTCTACACCCAAAAGGTGAAGTGAGGATATCTGGGGATTAGAGCTCAGAGTGGATTACCTAAAGGATAACTCATGATGGAATTCAGAAACTGGGAAAGTGTAATTATTCAAGAGGTATTTCACCACTGCCGGATTATTAACAATGACATCTGCAGATAAATATACCAATTACTGTGAATGCTCATCATCATCCCGAGGCTTCAGGATCTCTGATTTCACCAGCTTCTATGTTTCCTGTTGATATGAACATATGGACAGCTGGAGGGACAGCAAGGAAGGCCTGCTGAAGCCATCTGGTGTCAATGGGTGTGAAACTGGACAGTTTCAGAAGACAGTAGAGACAGTGAACACTGTAAGTGTTTTACCATCAACTTAAACAGTCAGCAATCTGATAGCAGTTATTGCGTTTAACTGGCCACAGAAACGTCTTGCTGATCAGAGTGCTGTACGGTCGATTAACACTGATTTAAAGAAGACATACTGTGAACATCGCTCTTTATCAGGGGGATGTTTAAAGAAAATGAGAGAACTAACAGTATTGTGAAGACCAAGGAAAAGAACAGACTGTTCATGGAGAAAGTTCTGGAGAAGTAAGTTTGAAGCAGATTTATATGATAAATCAAGATTTCAAATTTTGACTATCTGAGAGAACTCTGTTCAATCTGTCACTTGAAAAGAGTATGCCATGGCTGCAAACCATGCATGGCCATTGTAATAATTATGAAGGGAACGTCTCCCTCTCAAAATGTAAAAATATTCACAACACTTCACTTAGTACAATTTTTGTTGTTTTGTAAAAGAATTAATTCAACATACCGCAAACTCTCAAGGCTTTCCTGATCACCTACAATAACCCACCATAGCAAATAGCTACTCCAACCATAAACTACAACATGAACATGATAAAGCACTATACAAGTACAGGTAATTTAAGAGAATTTGTCTAAATTTAAATTTGAACAGCTGGAAGACCAAAAACACATCTGAAACATCTAAAACACAGAGAGAAATTACTAAAGCAAACACGCAATTAAGACCAATGATTGTTATAGGAACTAAATATGTTTAAACTTTATATTTAGGTCTCAAACTTTCAACCAACAGTCTAAAGAAGCAATTTAGTAGTGACAAAATTCTGCTCAAAATTAGACCTTTAAAGCAGATTGATTTTCTTGTTACCATCACACAAGGCTTCCTAAAGTTAAATATTTCTTATGTAAACTTTATATTGTCATTTCAAACTGTAATATTCTATAAACACTCATGCTCCACCTTGATGCAGAAGTCTTTTGAAGTGACATTACTTACACTGCCCACCATGTTTGTGCTGACTTACATCATCTGTTGTATAAAAATGAGTCAGTACTCCCATCATCACATCAGACAGACCTCCAGTCTTCTAAATCTGCCCAGGTCATCCATGATCGGTCTGGTGTGACAACAGGACTTCATTTGTTGTGGTCTATTGCTTCTCATCACCCTGCGGCGCTTTCTGCCGACCCTGCCAACTCTGTCTTGTATACAATATTCCTTTTCTATGACTTTGATTTCCCTAAACTCAACATTTTCTCTGACTTGTCATAAGATGTTCACTTTAGTCCGTAAAACATTTACTATCTATCTATCTTATCTATCTATCTATCTATCTATCTATCTATCTATCTATCTATCTATCTATCTATCTATCTATCTATCTATCTATCTATCTATATATATATATATATATATATATATATAATATATATATATATATTTTTAGTTCAGCTAAAAAATTAGTTGAACTAGAATATTTACTTGCTATTTTCAGATAGATCAGACTCAATAACTTATGCAGTTGTTCCTGTTTCTATGTCAGCCCTATTTTGATTTTAAACCATCACTCATTCGAGGACTGGTATAGAAAACGACAGGATAATCGAACACTCGTAACTCAAATTCTTAACAGAAAATGTTGGATTTATATACATTTCAACTGCTACAAAAATGAACAGGAAACATTTCTGCATATCTTCATTATTGAAGTTGCTGCAAGTTTTTCACTTTTCAAAACATTTACAAGTTTATTTGGAGACATTAAACAATGACAGTATATAGTCAAAGAGTAGTACATTGTTTAAATTCTTAATTTCAAGAATTAATTTTGTCTACTTGCTGCATATGTGTGTACAAACACAGGCAAAAATAGACATAAATACTATATGAAGGGCATATAACATTTTGTAAAAATAAAATCTTAAAAGCATGAATAGACTGTTCTTGCTTGCATCCTTCATACTGAAAATCAGCTATAGAACCATTGTGCAAAACCAAGGGGGGATTTTCTAACTTGAGGATTTTGTCTCGTTGTCCATCCTCTTTATGAGTCATAATAAATTGCAATGACTATTTTGGCCTAAAATAGTTGTGAGCAGAGATTGATTACATGGAGAAAAGTGAGACCTGCATAATGAATGCATCTATAACATTCTATTCTGGTTAAAGATGTGATGAGCAATGGGAGGGTCGATGCTTGTGGGCATCAGAGTAACAATGCTGGTCAGAAAAGGGTAAAACAATATGTCTACATTTTGTCAAAATGAGAGCTACCAGAATATTAGTATTTTGTATTAGTTTGTTACATCTCCAAACTACTTCACTCACCTATATTCACTTCCTCCTTTTTCAGTAAATTAAACACCCACTATAAATCCCCACTTTGTAGACTAATTCTACAAAGAGCTGGAGTCTTTGCCATCTGTATAGTTGCCCTGAGTGGAATTTGTGTTAAGAATGGATACCAGCTGCAAGGTCATCACACTTTTATGGTGTTCTCAGCTGCTTTGTACTTGCTCGGGCATGGAATTGAATAAAACCATCACAAACTACAAGCTGGAATGCAGTTGAAAAGGAAAGGCAGTAACAAGATACAATTTTTTTCTTAAGTTGTTGGCAGCTTTAAATCTCTTGACTAATGCTCTGTGATGTGCCTTGGTAAATGAACCCTTCCTGAAGGAAGTCAGTAACAGCAGCATGACTAGTTATAGAAGTGCACTTCCACACTGCTTACAATATCACATGCTGTCACTAACACTGCACTCTGACTATTTCCCCTACCTTAAAGTATCAATTTGGATGTCATAATCAAAATTGTTATCTGGGATACCTCCAAACATCCTGAGGTAACAAAAATAAATTTGGATACCTCAGGATCCAAATTTGGGAAGTAACATTCCCAGATTTGTGACTTCTTTGCAAAATAGTTGAACTGAGGCCTAAACATTCAGCCAACTCTCTGAAATGTTAGGCAGCAGGATTGATATCTTCAACATTTCAGAGATTGATTCGCTGCTTTGCCGCATGCTATAATAAACTTTTACTGGAAAGTACCTGAAAACAATTCCTCAATCCTAACTGTACATCCACATAATCTTTAGTCTCTGGGTATTTTTTTAACATTTGTAAAACAGTGTTTTGCTGAAGACCACTTATCCTACATTACCCGAACAACAGGCACTTCACCAATCTGGCTCAGTCAGCCTCATTAATGCTGTTATTTATCCCTTAACAATAACTAATCTAAATTCTCTCAGGGCTGCTTAGGTTCCCTGCTTCTTGTCACCTATCACCACCTCGCAGGAGGCAGCCAGGCAGTCAGACGATGGAACAAGGGAGAGCCAGACATAAATCTGGAGCAGGAACAGGTTCCAACATGGAGACTGTAAATCAAGGTAGGGAAAAGCAGGCCATTATTGTACGAGGGTCAATGGTGCAGCCACTCTGAAACGGTGCTGAGTCATGCATCATGTTCCAAGGCAGTGGAAAGAAGGTAGTTGTTTAGAGGGACAAACTACTGAGAGAAAAGATGTAGAGCAATAGACATAGGAGGGAAGATCCTACAGTAAAAGATGCGTGACGTATTGATTCTGTAGGGAAAATAAATTAAAAGACAATCATAGGTAAAAATGGAAGTGCCATATAGCTAAAAGGGAAATAACAAAAACAAAATCCTAGTTTTTTATTCAATTAAATTTTTATTAATAACATTTGGTCAGCTCTGGAAACCAACAGCTCAATATTCATGTTTTCCAGAAGCACCTGAAGATTTAAATCACACTTCTTGCATTTGCACATACTGCCCTCCCACTGCATTTCAGAGTCAAGGAGCCCTTTTACTCTGCCATAATGAGCCATCATACTACGCTTATCAAATGTCAGGTGAAACCAGATGCTGTTCTGCATGAGGCTATGAAGGTTATGCATTTCAGTGTTCAGATTCATATAATATACAGGCTGTTTTGTATTGTCCTTGTTTTTTTGTAGTTTTGAGACTTCCAGATATTGAGTCAGTACATTATCAAACAATCATTAAGATGTATTTTTAAAAGTGCAATAATAAAATACAGGAAGATGTAAATTATTTTTAAAAAAATTGTCATTCTTTCAGCAAATTTGAGAAAAACAAGACAATCAAAATACCCAGTATTTTCAATAGTAATAAATAAAACTATCAATTGTGGCAACTTGCTATTCTAGAGCATAAGAGTAAGTTAACTCAACTATCCTTAATGATGGTTTGATTTCATCTTTCTACAATCAAAACGATTTCTATAAATTCAGAGCAACCCAACAGCCTCCAGTAATTAATTTGACCTTACAGAAAAGACACCCCGGTATGCACAGATAAACTCCATAAACTCGAACTCAGACACCACAGGCCCTGTTACCACGCTAAATGTTAGAGTTCATTACAGAACAATTAAGGAATGAATGGGTATGTTTTGTTTTGATTTTATTTTTTTGACAGTTTATAAGAGAAAGCCTATAATCTCTAAAAAAAAAAAAAAAAAAAACATGTGGCAGCATAGCTTGCAATGTTGCATCTAAATGAAGGCTTCTGGAATAATGTCCTTTGAACAGATACCAAATTAGAGATGTCTGGCCTTAACGCACAGCAACATGTATGGAGAAAACCAAACAGCACATAAGTACAAATGCCTCATACCAACCATCAAAAAAAGTAATGGAGACCTCATGACGGGTGTGTTTGCAACCACAGGAGCTGGGCAGTCAAAGAGTAAAGCACAAAATCCTCTAAATACCAAAGTATTCCAAAGTCAAATCAGGTGTGAACTGTCCAACCAGTAAAGCTTGGCTCGAATTAAGTCATCAAACAGTCATCCAAAACGGATTGGCTGGAATAGACATCACAATGTTGCCCTGGCCTTGAAATGTACAGACCTAAATATGTCGGAAATGTTGTCTTATCTGACAGCTTTACTAAGCTGTCAGATAAGAAGTAAGATCACAAATTTTTACATTTTTGCCTCACATACGTATGTGGTTCAGTTGAAATCAATTTTAAACTAGTGAGGCAAGATATTTTTTCTGAGATTTTGATACACTAGAGTCAAAACAAATGGCTGCGATTTCTTTTGCTTGAGGCTTCAGTCAACTTAGTGTTGATCAATGTAACAATATGCCTCTCTGTATGTTATACACATTAAAATGCATCAAATTAAGAATATTAGAAAAACACTTTTTCCCCACTGGGTCAGTAAATTGCTACACATTTAATCAGTTGACAAGTGAAAAACCCCAACAAGATGGTTTAAAAATATGTAATAATTTGTTAATTCTAGATTTGCTAGCAAGTTGTCTAGATGTGGAGGATTTGGAAATCACCCAAATGGGTTTAAATTTCTTACTTACATTAGAAGAAAGACTTCTCAATGAGAGACAAAGACATAAAAAACAGTTGAACAAATATATTCAAACGAATCACATCTGATCTGAATTAATTATAGAGAAACTTTCCCATCTAAGTAGTATTGATTATCTTATAAGGCTTTAGATTATTGTGTCTGCTCAACAGCTGGAAGCCACTGATTCGGAAACTTGAAGAATGAGTATTGATTGTGAATAATTAAGTCTATGGTTAGAGTTTTATTTTTACAGCGGATTAAAAAATGGTGCCTGAATCTGTTTAATGTGGTGCCTGATTGCAATTTTACTGAATATTCTCATCACCCGACTCATCCAGCGACAGGAAGTTTCAAAGTAAGGCAGATGAAAGTCTCTGGTATTTGGCCAGCAGGGAGGGGAAATGAGTAAAAGGCTTTGCTTTTAATAGAAATCAATTTTAACTTGCCAGCTGCAGTGCAGAGCAAGTGAAACACGCAGAAATCTCTGCACAAAGGGATGTGATATAAAAACACCTGCCATCTCGTGATTGGGTGAAGAAAAACGGCTCAGGAGGTTTCATTCTCTCCAGAGGCGCCCTTATCACTGCCTGCAGGACCGATGCCATTAACCTGGGCCTCCCTGGTTAACTGTGCTTTGATTAGCTTTCTGATTTTACAGCACAGCTGATACAATGATACTGGATGGAAGAGCAGAAACAGTTGACGCAGAAAAAAAAAAACCCTAGTGATTGAAAAAAAATAAAATTTTAAAGATTTGTGTGCCAAAAAGTCTGCACCCTTGAACTGATATAAGGAACTTTTACATAAAGCTATAATTAAAATGGGTCTATTTGGTTCTTCAGAACAGAAAGCAACAAATTATCATTATTTATCTTACTTTTTTCACCTTGGGGTGTTCCCACAGTGTAAATTCATAGTTATAGTATTCCGAGAAACATTAACAAACCTGAGGGTGAAATCAATAACTTTCAATAAAAGTTAGATTTGATCATTATTTATAGCTTATTGTGGTTACTAAAAACAGTTTTAAGGTCTGATTAATTAATTGACAAAAATGAATCGAAGGGGAGTGGGTTTCACAACTGAAGCTACGAGATGATTCAGCAAAAAAAAAAAAAAAAACTGGAGTGTTTTTCTTACCTTCATTACAGAAGCGGCCCTTGTATTTCGTCTGGGAGCAGTCACAGACCGGTTCTCCGTCTATCACCATGCACGTTCCACCGTTCTCACATGGGTTGACAGTGCACCAACCTTCTGACTCCAGGGGCACCTTAAGGCTTCCCAGGAACAGAGGCTGTGAGCTGCCAAACTTGAGGTCTGTAATTGTTCCCCTGAAGGGTTGCATGGTTCGCACCGTAGGCAGTGTAAGTGCACCGTTGCGGATATCCTGAGGTACTCCACCCAGGAACAGGTCGCTGACTATTTTCATGAATTGACGCTGAGGTTTTACCTCATCGGCTTTGACCTGGCCGTCCAGCACCAGTACTGTGCGCAGGTTATACCTGCTCAGCGTGGCGGCGTGCCAGCTGCCGTCGTCCACCCGCCTGTCGGAAACAACCGTGGTCTCAGCGCAGTCAATGCTGAAGCGCAGCTGCAGTCGACCCTCCACCACCCCCAGCTGCAGAAAGTCACAGTATCCTCCATCATCGAAGTACAGCAGCAGTGACTCTGAGGCCTCTGTCTTGAACTGAAAGCTGAGGTCACCGCGGGTGCTGGCGTCCCAGCGGAGGTAGCGTGCCCACTGGCCTGGAGTACCCAAAAATTCCAATCCCAAACAAGAGCTGAGGAATAACTGGAGTCTGATAGAAAAGCCTACAAGATCCATAGCTGCAAAGAGTTAATCCAAGAAAATGTCCAACAGGGATTCAATGGGATGGAAATCTTCTAGCTGAATTTCTGGAATCCACTTTTATCCACAATATGTGTTGCGATATATTCATATAGATATTTCTTATAAAAAATATGCTTTTAAAGGGAACAAGGAGATAAAAGGATAACAGTCGTTGGCGTTAACAGTCTTAAGAGTAAGAAATTGTCCAGACGCTGCAAGGCAGTGATCATGCAGAGGAATCCTTTTCTGATTTTTATGCTTTTTTAATCTTCAGAGCATTATTTCTGGTGTAAGGTCTGATCCAATATTCTTCTCTGGTTCTCAGGGAAAGTGGAATTTCCTCCATATTTTTAGATGTGAAGTGGAGGTATGAGATGATCCACGGTTTCATCACTGTTAGGAGAAAAAAGAACAATGGACAATCAGCAAACCAATATCAACATTTCCTTTAATATTCTCAACATTTACCCTGAAGAAATCTCCTTAAGGCTTCTAATTATAAGTATTTCTGCATGCCCTCTTCCTGAAACAGGTCAGACAACTCAAATAGTTGACAGTCTTATTTCAGCTTTTTTCATTTAACACACAAGCAATTTCTTCCCACAATCTTCCCAGTCTTGGAAAGTCTTTCAGAATCTCTAAGAGCAAGATTTAAATCCATCGTCCAATGTCTAAGATTGAAGGAGGCAGCAGGCACAGGAGGGAAATCCAGATATTGCAAAGCACAGTTAGTGACACTGTATAGTTTCAGTTGGGAAATCCAGAGGTGTTCCCAGGCCAGAAGGGATATATAAATTTAAAAATAGTCAGTTTCTAGGTTAGTAAAATAATTAGTTCAGCTCTTTCTTCACTACAACAGTGTCCAGTCCCATTTCTTAACAAAATCCCAAAATCCTACTATAACTTGAGAACAAGACATCCAATTCAACTCTTCCAACAGATGCAGGTTGTGACTGTGACACAAAAGGTGCAATTCAGCATTTTCTCTTTGAGTATACAATTAAAAAAAAACTCAAATATCGCTGCATTTGCACTTCTCTGAAAATATCTGTATATTCAGTCATATAAGAAATTCAATTCAGTTCCAGCTTTGCAAGAATTGTTCAGAACTGAAATACACAGAATTGAACACAAAATAAACAAAATCGAAACTGCAGCTATGTAAAAAACAAAAGTGTCAATCAAAATACCAGCTCAGTCAGGTAATCCACAATGTTTTATGACTTCTTTCAAATGAATGGTGCACCTACTGTAAAGTATTGCTGAGCTATGGAGGTCCAAATTTTCTCACTCCTCAACAAATTACATTATTTACAAGCTTTTAACTTGTTTTGAACCTACCAAGCATTTGTTACATGATCAAACAGAGGTTTAACAGTTAGTGTTAAACCTCTGTTTGATCATGTCATTTAAAAACCACCAACAGCATTTTGTATAAAGAAGTAGAGCAAAGGAGCAGAGGAAAAGCTTTTAAACCTGCCACAACAAACATAAAAAGGGACTATGATGCTTTACTCATCTAGTGAAAAATGTTGATTTGATGTCATCACTCGTGCCTGTGAAAGAGCTGCATTCTTCCTCCTCCAAAGGTTGTTTGGAGTTATCGGTCATCTACTGGGTAAATTAGTCTCATTATTCTCATGGCACAGAATGATTATGACTCAGCCAGGCAGACTGCCTTTATCTGATGACCAGACTGCAGAGAAAGCTTTCTGCTGAATCCAGCTGAATAATAGGATTTGCAGAAAAAAACACAACTGCATTCTGAAGCCAAAGGGAGTAAACGCTGCTTTACGTATTTCAGTATAAGTGCTAGAGATGATTAAGGTTAAACAATTTTAAGATATAATTATTTTATTTCATGAAATATTACAATTTTGTTTTATTTTTGTAAAACCAAAAGTTGTGCAAATCATAATGTTATAAGGAGGGATGCTCCAATCAGGTTTATTGCTGCCGATTCCGATACCGATACTTTTGCATTCCCTCGCAAAACAAGATTTTGCGAGGGAATGCAAAAGTATTGAGAGGGGACGCAAAAGTTTTGCGAGGGGACGCAAAAGAAAAAAAAATCCCCATGTCCCCTGTGGGGCTCCCTAGTTTAGCTTTCTAAACAGAATTCTAATCCGGGTGAATGTTGCTCTACCTGCAGTCCGGTCGCTCCGGATGTCTTTTTGTTCCTGCATTGAGTCAAACACCGTCAAGTGCTTCTCTTGATGTCTTTATGCATTTTGTTGTGCTTCTCCCCCACGCAATTTTCCCCTGCAAAACGTAAACTTCCCCATTCACTCTCAGAGCATTGTGGTTCCTCCACGCGACAGTATTTGTTGCCGCGAGCTTGCGCAGTGTGAAGGAAAGAGATCGGCTGCACACGCAGGCTGCGAAATGAGTTAAATGTGATCGATTTTGCTGATCGGCAACAAGTGACAATAATCGGCGACCGATCATACACTTTTTCAGATGAGGTAGAAGCTGTCCATATCTGAGCTGATCTAAACTATATTTTTCTTTAGGTCTTGCATCTCCTAAAATAAATGAACAGGTTGCTTTTTAATCGATCCAACCAAATTAAAAAAGAAGGTGAAGCCTACTTTTTTTTTCAAACAACTCAGGAGCCCTTTACATGAACAGGTAAAGCCATCCCGGTCCAGAAAAAAACTGAGAAGAAACTGCAGATTAAGCTGATGCTGATAATAATCCACTAACCGGGTTAGTCTTCACAGGATCTTATTTATAGGGAAGGAAACACACGAGGGACGACCAGCTGACGTCCTGTCTCAGAAACCTGCTCAGCAGAGGAGACAGCTCAGTTTCCTGTTTCAGCATTTCAGAACTGAGACCTTAAGATGTGACAAAAGAGTCTCAGTGGAGGAAAACTTTCAGTGAGCAAAACGTAAGGATGAAGTTTATTATCCGAGCTCAGTGTGTTACAGATGTATGCGTTCTTAGAACTTGAATGTTAATGGTTGTATTTCAAACAGAAGGCTTGGAGGAAGAAAAATGACAGATATTTTGCTTCTGAACCGCCAAATGACACAATCAATAAAACTCCTGCTTGGTTATTTTTTATAAATTCTAGATCTGTCTGTCTCTGGTCTGTCAAGGTGAAGACACAAATGTGCCTAAATTCTGGTTGTACTGCTCCTTCTGTCATCTGACCTTCATATGTGATCATGAGATATGGATTATGAAAGATGGAGATCTGGATAATATCAAAGTTACCCTACTGAGGAAGCTGAAAGAGCCATGCTCTGCCTTATATTTAAAGTAAGAAGCTTGGAGTGGAGCTGCTGCGAATTCATGTTGTGGGTCAGGCATCTGAAGCGATTCCTCCATGAAATCTATCTTTGGAGGTTATTCAGTCACATCCCAGCAGGAGGAGACCTTGTGGCAGACCAACAAATCTCTCGATGGACTTCTAACCTGAGGAAACACAGCAAGTCTGCTGCTGGAGTGATGCTGTTCTTCTACAACACATCTGAAGGAAATTAGCAGGCTTATTCAGAAACTACAAGCTATTTCAACAATCTAATTCAGAATCAGTGGAGCATAAATAGATTTATGACCCTTGAGGAGGGGGAACGTCCAAACCAGCTCCAGGATGGCCCTCGAAAATGAGGATGTATTGGTTTCCCTCCTGAACTGGTTCTCACCAGAATAAAGTAGTCTCTCTTAAGACTGATTACTGCACATGGATGGTTTGAATCAAAAGAGAAACAGACCCATCTGCAGACCTTTTTTATAATATCCAAGAAGCTCTGCACAATGCTCAGCAGAACCAGAAGGGACTCAAACAATTGCAGCAATTAGTCTATTCTCCAAATCAGCCAGCTCTGAGGAATAATGCTCCCTTGCTGTTTTTCATCTTTAGGCTGTAGCGGTTAGAAAGCTTTTCACCGAGTAGTTCTGCTGATCGGAGAGTCATTACTTCTATTTACGTGAGAAACACCGTGTACAGGTGAGAAGTTACTGCTGGTCACGGAGCACAGCAGTGCAAGGCTGCTTTCTTTCTAATTTGTCTTTGTAACAACCTGTTCTGCTCAGACAGCAAACGGCTGTAATGGCCATGTTAGACAGGTTCAAGTTGGTGAACATGGTTTCACTTTAACACAGATAACACTGAGAGCTTCTCAGTTTAATCCACAGAGAACATTGCTGAAACAGAGCAACACAAAACTGTCAGCAGACGGTCAGACGTTGAATGTTTAAAAAAAAGATACATGAACTCTCTTTTGATCAAAACTCTCCAAACTATTAAAATATGTGATTAAAGCTAATTAACCTTGGCATTTAGTCTGAAGTAACACATTTTCAATGGTATTTTATGAGAGAGAAAGTTGAATGCATTGATTCAGACAAGAAATATTTCGGTTTAAGTGAAAAGGGAAAGAAGGTTAACTTCTAATACTAATGAGAAAATGTTCTCATTAGTATAGAGAATATTTTATTGAGTATTTTCAATATAGTATAGAAAATACTAGTTCCTCATGATTTACAGGTGGAAATTGTTTTTTTGGGGGGACGGGGACAGGGGGGTGTAGTAGAGGGTAGGGTATACTTTTAATAGAGGAGGAATAAGGAATAATACATGAATGTTTCATTGGTTTTCAACTGAAAAATGAAATGTCAAAGATTGTTAAAACTGTTTTTACATAACCAAGAACTGCCTGGTGTTGAACCTTTATTTCATTTTAGTGTGCATTGAACACAATCCTTGTCTGAGAAAGCTTTATAGTAAAGCTTTAAAACTGTGAAAAGTTCAATCTTTGAGAGTTGAAACTAACGCAGACAACTGTGATAGTAAAACCTGTCCAACACACTCACCTCATCAAGTTTTAGTGCCACTGCATTCAGATGATATTTGGGTGTTGGATTCTTCCTGTTGAAACAAAAGGTGAATCTAACAACTGAGAACATTTAGGTCTCATCAGATTGTGTTCAGCATAGTGATGTGTTTCATTTCTGTGATAGTCTTCAGTTTCCAGCTAAGAACTTTTAAGTTGCCTTTCCAACTACATTTTATTGGTCGTTGTTTTAATCCTTTCTTGATTTTCTAATATTTTAAATATGTTACGAATAGAGATCTTTCAGTATCTGTCTGACACTCTCTTGCTGAACTTCTACTGTATTTTAAAAAGTTCCAATGTGCTTTGTTAAATATTCCTTTTAGATTTGAACCAAGCTGAAATTTGTAGGTGTACTTTTGTTACAGGAACATTAATCCATCACTCCGAACGGTTTTCTCTTCTCCCAATTAGTACTGAATCTACGCCACCCCCTTGTTCTACAATTTTCTTTATACAGAGGATCTGGACCCTCGGCTGTTAAACAATTGGTTCCTGGAGGTGTGGACTCTGTTGACAATAGAAATCCTTTGAACAATTTAATTTGAC